CCCTCCCCGTGTCCCCATCCATGTCCCAACCCCCCCGGGCTCCTCCGCCGCCGGTTCCCGTGCCCCGTCCCCGGTGTCCCCCCGGTGTCCCCCCGGTGTCCCCCCAGTGTCCCCCCGGTGTCCCCCCGGTGTCCCCGGTGCCCCCCGGTGCCCCCCGGTGTCCCCCGCTCACATCTTGACGTCGCACGACTTCTCGTGGTTGCAGAAGGGACACGTGAACTGAGTCTCCAGCGTCCCCGTCATCTTCTTCTTGGGGGGCGGCTTCCGCTTCGACTTGCGGCGGCCCATGGCGGCCGCACCGGAGCCGAGAACCGGGAACGGCCTCCGGAACGGGAACGAAAGCGGGATTGGCCCCGGGAGCCGCCTCGGAGCGGCCCCGAGCCGCTGCGGGACGTGCTGGGGGCGGCTCGACCCCTCCGGGACCCTCCCGGTTCCTCCCGGTTCCTCCCGGTTCCTGAGGGGTCCTCACGCCGCGCTCCCGCCGCGTTCCCGGAAGTGCCGCCCCTCCGCCCTCAGCCAATCAGCAGCGGGAACAGCGCGCTCTGCTCCACGTGGCTCGCAAGCGCCGCGCTCATTGGTTGATAAGCGCAGAGTCCCAGCCAATCACCAGCGGGAAGAAAGACTCGCAGTTGTCCCGCCCACTGGTGATGGACGCTCGGCTCCAGCCAATCAGCAGCGGGGAGGGCGCGGCCATCGCGCTCAAGCCCCGCCCCCCGCGCGGTTTTGGGGCGAATTGCGGCGATTTTGGGTCCGGCAATGGCGGCGGCGCCGTTCAAAGGCTTTATTGGGGGTCACTCGCCAAGGGGGAAACCCAGGCGGGGGTCGCAGGTGCCCCCAGGTCAGGGTCAATGTCCCAAATGTCCCCCCGGGTCAGGGGTCACGGGGTGTCCCCAAGGGGAGGGGTCCCAGTGTCCCCCAGTCTCCCCCAGTGTCCCCAGAGGAGGGGTCCCGGTGTCCCGTTGTCCCCAGAGGAGGGGTCCCGATGTCCCCAATGTCCCCAGAGGAGGGGTCCTGGTGTCCCCAATGACCCCGCTGTCCCCAGGGGAGGGGTCCCGGTGTCCCCAGGGAGGGGTCCCGGTGTCCCGCTGTCCCCAGAGAGGGGGTCCCGATGTCCCCATTGCCCCCCAATGTCCCCAGGGGAGGGGTCCCGGTGTCCCCAATGTCCCCAGAGGAGGGG